TTTTGGGAAATTCTTTGGTCTGAACTGTCTGTGCTGTGATCATTTGATTCACTATCAAGAACCAGTTTGCGAGTCTTTTGCTCTTTTGCTTTATGTGTTTGATTCACTAGCAAAATTGGTTCAAAAGAATCAGTTGTTTGGGAATCAGGTCTGCTCTGTTTGGGCTGTATCTGTTTGATTCACCAGCAAGAACGGGTTCATAAGAGTTATTTGTTTAGATGAAGGAAAGTGAAGTGGATTCAAGACCGAAGAGTTTAAAAAAAAAAAAAATTTTATGTAATGACTAGTGTTGTTGAAAAAACAGCATATATGCTGGTTAGGTATGTTTTGAAGCATGGCAGCTGGTTTAAGCTGGTCCTTAGTTGGTCCTGAGCTGGTTATAAGCTGGTTCTAAGCAGCTAGCTCCTGTTCAGAACCAGCTCGTGACCAACTAAGGACCAGCTTAAACCAGCTCAAACCAGCTGTCATGCTTCAAAACATACCTAACCAGCATATGCTGTTTTTTCAACAGGGGAATTTAGCTAGATGCTAATGCTTACATACAAACACAACATGGGGGTCTGAGATATCAAATGTATTATGCTGTGGCAGTATGTACTAATATTGGCGTACCGCAGGAGTTTTTAGCAGGGGGTCCACAATGGTATCACAGGGGTCCGTCAATGATTAAACAGAAATACAGTATTAAATTAACTTCAACCAAATGCTAAATCTTGCATCTCGTCTACCACATTAAAATGTATGAATTCAAAATAAAATGTACACGTCTGTACATCAATACTGATTATTTGAATGACTTTGCTATGTTAGCATCATAGCAAAGTATCCAAATATGCTACTATACATATGATATTATAGGTCAGACTTGAAATCTAATCAGTTTTATGCCATATATACTTAATAAATACTCAAAAGTATGTGTGAATTGTCTGTTTTTGAGGTTTAACCTGGTAGTTTGAGTTTGAATATGATCCTAGTTTTGTAATATAACTGTAATATTTACTCATGACCTTCAGAAAGCATATTCATGTGGCAGCTGTCGTTTTGTCACATGAAAACTTGATTGTTTTAAAGTTTGATGGATTTTGACGGAGTCTGACGTGCGTCTTTCCGGCAGAGCTGAAAGGAAACATCTAGCGAGAAGATGCCTTTTGCTGTCTTCTGTCATTCTCTGTCACCCACAGTCTGTGGTATAAAATCGCTGTCTCTTCGCTGAGAAATGTCTGCGTGTTGCCGTCTGGTGTAACTCTGTGTCCTCTGAGCTCTGGAGATTCGGGGATATGTGTGTTGAAGGAAGGAGAAAAGAAATGGCTTTCATTTCTTTTGTCTTCAAATGAAATTCTCCTGACTTTTCCCTCCTCTCTGACACGCTGATTAATTCCAGCATGTTGTGTCTTTATATTAGGGCATGAGCGGACCGGACCTCGGCTAAGCAAACCAATCTCATCCTGTTGCCATGGGAGTGCTTTCCTCGCACCGTTGGTAGCTAGAGCTTGGCCCATCACCAGATCGAACGCGTACCAACTTCCTGTTCCTTCTATGAGGGCTGTGAAAGAGCTCAGATGGAGCATTTCGTTCAGACTCTGGTCTACTTGTAGTTTATATACAGCAGTATTATTATAGTTCACTAAAACTTTTAAAAAATGTTACTTGAAATAAAATAAATGTTAACTGAATTAAAAATCAAATATGAAAAAAACTTTTATTTCAGCTAGTTGTCAAGGCACCAAGGCAACATTTCTCATTTTCATTTAGTTTAACTTTATGTAGTAAAATAACTAAAACTAAAACTGAAATAAAAATGTATAATAATAAAAAAAAAAAAACATTTAAAAAAAAAACCCACAAAATTAAAAACTGGAAATAAAAAAATAAAAACTAAGTATCTCTGTGATACTAAAATTAAAGTGGTGAATTGCTGCCACATGCCTATTATTTTTTATACTCAATTATGTCCTAATAACGAGATATGTCATTTAAATAAAATATACCTTGTTATTATGAGAAAATCTTTTGTTTAAACAACATAATATCTTGTTATTATGAGAAAATGTCATTTAAATGTTATTACGAGAAAATATTTTGTTTTAACTGCATAAATCTCGTTATTATGAGAACATATATTGTTTTAATGGCATAGCATCTCATTATGTGAAAATATGTTGTTTTAAAAAGAAAATGACGTTTTAACAACATAGCATCTCGTTATTATGAGAAAATATATTTTAACAACATGTCTCATTATTACAAGAAAATATTTCATTTAAATGACATAGCATCTCACAAGAAATTGTTGTTTTATTGACAAAATATTATGAGAAAATTTCGTTTTAACAAGAAAAATGTAATTTTAACAACATAGCATCATTTTAATGACATAACATCTCATTATTACAAGAAAATATTGTTTAAATTACATAAAATCTCATTATTATGACATAAGTGAGTGGAAAAAATAATATGTACTGTATGTGGCAGCAATGCACCACCGTATAAAACAACACTAATATACAGTATGTTGTGATATTTCTTATGGGCAGGTGCAGAAAAAAGAATTGTATAATTGTTTATTTTGACAAATTATTTTAGTGTCTTCAAACAATCCTTCATAATGCTTTTGCCCTATTAAAGGTGCTTTAAGGAATGGCTTTAATGTCACGGATAAAGCGTCTCCACTACCTGATAGACATCGCTGAAATAGGTGTGTCGAGACATCAGATCCGTCTCTGTGAAAGATCAAGATTAATAAAAAAGATTTGGGGAGTGGCCAGAAGTCTTAGCCAATCAGAAACTGTCTCTGCCTGTCAATCATGTTGCATGTTCATGATTAGAATGGCAATTCTTAAGGAATTTAACCATTCAGGTTCTATTAATGAGTCTTGTAGTATTTTGAGGAAGAAATATTTTGGAAACGAAGTGTGATTTCATTGCAAAATGATGGAATAATTTCCCGTCAACTACATTAACAGTCATGAGGTATACAATGATTTAAGTCTCAAAGTCTTAAGTACAAAACAGTCAGTTGTAAGATGTACAGTATCTCACAGAAGTGAGTACACCCCTCACATTTTTGTAAATATTTTATTATATCTTTTCATGTGACAACACTGAAGAAATGACACTTTGCTACAATGTAAAGTAGTGAGTGTACAGCTTGTATAACAGTGTGAATTTGCTGTCCCCTCAAAATAACTCAACACACAGCCATTAATGTCTAAACCGCTGGCCACAAAAGTGAGTACACCCCTAAGTGAAAATGTCCAAATTGGGCCCAATTAGCCATTTTCTCTCCCCGGTGTCATGTGACTCATTAGTGTTACAAGGTCTCAGGTGTGAATGGGGAGCAGCTGTGTTAAATTTGGTGTTATCGCTCTCACTCTCTCATACTGGTCACTGGAAGTTCAACATGGCACCTCATGGCAAAGAACTCTCTGAGGATCTGAAAAAAAGAATTGTTGCTCTACATAAAGATGGCGTAGGCTATAAGAAGATTGCCAAGACCCTGAAACTGAGCTGCAGCACGGTGGCCAAGACCATACAGCGGTTTAACAGGACAGGTTCCACTCAGAACAGGCCTCGCCATGGTCGACCAAAGAAGTTGAGTGCACGTGCTCAGCGTCATATCCAGAGGTTGTGTTTGGGAAATAGACGTATGAGTGCTGCCAGCATTGCTGCAGAGGTTGAAGGGGTGGGGGGTCAGCCTGTCAGTGCTCAAACCATACGCCGCACACTGCATCAAATTGATCTGCATGTACTCACTTTTGTGGCCAGCGGTTTAGACATTAATGGCTGTGCGTTGAGTTATTTTGAGGGGACAGCAAATTTACACTGTTGTACAAGCTGTACACTCACTACTTTACATTGTAGTAAAGTATCATTTCTTCAGTGTTGTCACATGAAAAGATATAATAAAATATTTACAAAAATGTGAGGGGTGTACTCACTTCTGTGAGATACTGTATGTGTTTGATTCACTAAAAACAAACGACTCATAAGAGTCATGTTTTTCATTGACTTTCAAAAGAAGTCATTTGTTTGGCAATCAGTTGGTCTACACTGGTTACACTGTATGTGATTTGGAGTCAATTGTTTTGGAATCCTTTGGTCTGCATTGGTTGTGCTGAATAATATTTGTCTGATTTACTAACAAGAACTGGTTAATAATAGTTATTTGTTCAGGAATCATTTGGTCTGAACCTTTTTGTGCTGTATGTGTTTAGAACATAGACTGTAAAAAAACATGGACGTAGTGTCCGTGACCTCACCCGTAGGTTTCTAAAGAGCGTTTTTGAAGCTCAAAGTGGGCCGTCGCCATCTTGGCAGCGAGTCACTCCCGGATAATCGAAAATGGGCAAGAGGCGGGAGCTGGTTGCTGAAACCACGCCCACCTAGCTCGACGCCGGTGACAGCAGCGGCAATCCACCTGCAATCCACGCCCTTAATTATGCAGAACTTTAAGGCTTAATATAATTTAAACGGATGAGTTATAAAAAAATTCACCCCCCTCACAGTTGTCATGAAGGACAAAATTAGCTATATAGACCAAAATCATTTTTTTAACCAGGCTGTAAACATGTTTTTTTCTGCTGTAAAGTTGGGCATTTTAACATGGGGAGTCTATGGGATTGACTCCCTTTTGCAGCCAGCCTCTAGCGGGCAGTTGACGAATTACAGTTTAAGTCACTTCCGTGTTGGCTTCACGAGAGAGAGAGCGGGAGGTTGCCTCTTGGTTTAGACTCACTTCAGAAAAAAGTTTAAAAAAATCATTTTGTCAGGAATCATTTGGTCTGCATGTTTTCTTTTGGTTCACTTTAAAGAACTGGCTTGTAAGAGTCATTTGTTCTGGAATCATTTGGTTTGCACTGGATGCACTGAATGTTTTTGATTCAGTAAAATCATGTTTGAGCTACATTTGAACAAAATAGCCTACATCGGTGGCCTGTGGGTAGCTTATAGCTCTAATATATTTTCCTTTTTATTTTTGTCTTTTTGGTCAACAGATATCTTGAGACTAAACGATAGGAAGACAAGACAAGAGAACAGGGCCAGAAGACAACACATGCTGGATACAAATTCACCTCCACCTGAGCTCTGTATTAATGCGCCAAGTTGCATCAACCCTTTACAACACCGCAAACAACCTGCAGGTAAACTATGAGCTAGCCTATACTTTCAGTTTTTTTCCAAGAATTGTCATTGCCCATCGTGATTTAGGCTATTGTTCCTAATTTCATTTTTTTGTGAACATTTTTGTCTTTCTATCTTTATAAATGCAGTAAACCACTCAAGGTTGCACATCACACAGTTAAAGGAGTAGTTCACCTAAAAATGAAATTTTGCTTAAAATGTGCTCACCCTCAGGCCATTGAGCATGTAGATCAGTTTGTTTCTTTATCAGAAACAGATTTGGAGAAATGTAGCATTCCATCACTTGCTCACCAGTGGATCCTCTGCAGTGAATGGGTGCCATCAGAATGAGAGTCCAAACAGCTGATAAAAACATCACAATAATCCACAAGTAATCCATACAACTACATTTCTCCAAATCTGTTCCGATGAAGAAACAAACTCATCTACATGCTCGATGGCCTGAGGGCGAGTGCATTTTCAGCAAATGTTAATTTTTGCATGAATGGTAAAATCACTGTAATGCTCAGCCTCAGGTGGCTTATTGGTTTATTCTGACCCGCCCGTTACCATCTGGCCCGTGGCCCCGTGATGCCATCTCCTCTGGTGTTGTATCGGAGATGCCCATCGACGTGCCCCTCTTAATCAGCGCACCTGTCCAAACAGATGTCCACGAGGATTTTGTTTATTGATCGCGTGTGCTGCTCGATCTCCTTGACAGGAGTCACAGGATGAACTCCTGGGGTCTCAGAGGAAATGAGAAATCATTCTTCCTCATATCATTTGTTTTTTTTAATATCTGATAAGCTTGCATGTGCAGGCTTTGTGTTTTATTTGTGCGGATCAAGGCTGACTCAGGCTAGGCTCCACAGCTGTTTCTCAGGTACAGTCCAGCAGCCTTGAGCGAGAGGAACGAGAGCAGCATTGACAAAACGCTTCAGACGCCTTGTGAGAGTGAAATCTGTCTGTTTGCTTCCGTACACTCTGTATTCCGGGTCTCAAGGTGATGCACCTGTCGGCCGTCTAGAGTGATTCTGTCGGGAAGCACACTGTCTTCAGGCGATGGCTTGTTAGTTTGGAGGTGGGACTCTCGTTTTGAGCTCTGGGTTCAGTGGTTAAAGTCAGCATGAAACCGCATATGCAACCCATTTTATTCTTGTAGTGTGATGTATTTCTGATACAATATGTAGGATAGGACTTCATTAGGTTCATTAGGAATTGATTTGATGGTGGAAAGTGGGCATTTCACATAAGAATGGAGTCAGAGCGAGTTTATAGTGATAAAAAACTTTTAAGAAAGCTTTTTAGCCATAATCTCTTTAACGAAATGATTGACGAAACAATCAGTTGTTGTTGTTGTTGTTGTTGTTGTTGTGCATTTTAAGGGATAGAAAACAAGATAAGAACAGCAAAGAAAAAAAAAAGAAATACATTTAGTAACTATAATTAAAAGATTTTAAATAAAATATTCTATTGACAACGATATGATGACAAAAAGTAACAAGATGTGTTAATATGTTAATTACTGTTATTTAAAAACCGCAAATAGTTACTGTTAATTAAAACAATGATTTAAGAAAGAAGAAAAATGTTTAATAATTTATTCATAATTTTTTAACATATAATTGTGATAAGCATATAGTGCGTTTGTATATATAAACAAGCATATACTTTCTTTGAGATGTACATTAATAAATGTTATATATATTATATTATTTTATTTTATTTTTTTGTCTACACTTTTAATATTAATAATACTTATTTTTGTTGTTAAGGTTTAAAATGTTCAAAACTTGGTTAAGGTTTGGTTAAACTGTTTGGAAGTTTGATTAAGCTTTAGTTTGTTCAAGTTTAAGACACATTAATGACATTCTGTCAGTGTAAAATAGGCTAAAATTAATGTGTGTTGACAAAATATTGACTCAATTTAAATTACATGGTTTCAAAACTATTACAAATCTGGAAAAATAAACGTGAAGGCTAAAGGTCAATTCAATTTTTGTTCTTTATTTCTTTATTTGCAGTGTTTAATTATTGTAGTACCATTTTTGTATTAATGATAAACAGCTGTAAATGACCTCATTATCTAGTGGTAAGATTAAAGAAAGATTCAGAAACATTATTTTTCACTATCCAGTCGATTCCAGATGGATAAAGTCAAGTCACACATCTCATTATGTAAGTTAAATGGGTTGCAAATGTCAATTGACGCTCACTTTAGATAATGAGTAGCTTGACAAACTGCAGTTTTAAAGTATCTTCCCCAGCACTGCCTCCACCGGCGTCAGGAGTGAAAAGTGCACATGAGGAGAAACAGAAGCATGCAGTAATTTGAACAAGAGGTGGTCTGACTCACTCCAAAACGACTGTCCTTTGCAGCGTATTCACTTAGCTTTCAACTAAAGAGAGGACAGCCGTTTAATTAGCAGTGTTTGTTTTAAAAATGGTAAATGATTATCTGTGTGCTGGAGGCATTCAGGTCTGCCGTTTTTCTGCTGGCCTTCAGGACGGGACGATGATTGAATGTGTAGAGCCGGTAGCACACACACACACACACACACGTTTAGCTTGATCCCTGCTAATCTTGTCAGCCATCAATATGTTTGGTCAGTGCAGGTATCAGCGATTGATTTTTCTTCTCGGGTTCAATGCGATTCAGAGTGAAAAACCCACGGCTCCATCTCTACTCTTATTCATCATGTCCTTGTTTCTCCTTCCCTCTCATCAGATCTTCTCCTCTCTTCTTGTTCTTCTCTCACCTCACCCTGATCTGAGTTCAGGCCCGTTGAGATTTAGCATTAACATGCTTCTTCGTGTGAAGTTCGGAGGACGTTCTCAAACCTCTTGTACTTGTCTGGGCTTTTGGCATGTTTTTAGCAGTTCTCGCTATGCCAAGCATCAATATCACTGTTTCTCTTTCTTACTGTTCAAATCCCTAACACTATTCAAATTTTGTGCTACAGTCACAGATGATTCCTCAAATCTCGCTGCTGTGGGAACTGAACTGAGAATGCTTTTTAAATTTCAGTTCAGTTTTGAGAAATGTTTAACAGATGGATGGATGGCTAGATTGTTACATTGTTGGATGGATGGTTAGGTGGTTAGATTGCTAGATTGTTAGATGGTTAGAAGGTTTGTCGCCGTTGTCCTGTGGCTGCAGTCGCATCATCTAGGTGGATGCTGCACACTGGTGGTGGTTGAGGAGAGACCCCCCTCCCCACATGATTGTAAAGCGCTTTGGGTGTACAGCATTACACAATAAGGCGCTATATAAATGCATCATTCATTCATTCATTCAAGGTTGGATGGATGGTAAGGTGGTTAAATGGTGAGATGATTTTTAATGGTTAGAAGATTGGATGTATGGATGAATGGTTAGATGGATGTATGGATGGATGGTAAAGTGGTTAAATGGTTAGATGATTAGATGGTTAGAAGGTTGGATGTTTGGATGAATGGTTAGATGGATGGATGGTTAAGTGGTTAGATGGTTAGAAGGTTGGATGTTTGGATGAATGGTTAGATGGATGGATGGTTAAGTGGTTAGATGGTTAGAAGGTTGGATGTATGGATGAATGTTTAGATGGATGGATGGATGGATGGTTAGATGATTAGATGGTTAGAAGGTTGGATGCATGGATGAATTGGATGGATAGATAGATGGATAGTTGGATGGATGGTTAAGTGTTTAGATTGTTAGATGGATGGGTGGCTGGTTAGATTGTTGGATGGATGGATGGTCAGATGGATGATGGTTAAATAGTTAAATGGATGGGTGGATGTTTGATGGATGGATGGTTAGATTGTTAGATGGTTGGATGGATGGATGATGGCTAGGTAGTTGGATAGGTGGATGTTTGATGGTTGGATGAATGGAGGGATAGATGGTTAGATGGATGGTTAGAAGGTTAGATGAATGGATTAATGGATGGATAAATGGTTAGATGAACATTGTTGTGGTTTTTGGGGTAGTTGCTATGGTGGTTGCTAGGGTGTTGTTGTGCAGTTTCTAGAGTATTCGTGGGTTGGTTCTAAATGGTTTCTAAGGCATTGCTAGGCAGCTGAGAAGGTGTTTTCCGAGTGATGGATAGGGTATTTTTTTTCCTAACTTCAATGAAACAATCTTAAAAATAAAAAAAATTCAACGTCGTCTTATGAAGAACCATTTTCCATTATAAAGAAACTTTTGTGAAATGGAGCGGTTTCATGGATATTAAAGATTCTTCATGGAACCATCAAATATAATAAAGAACTTTTTAAGAAAAGTTTATGGAAAAAATGGTTATTTTAAGAACTGTTCCTTCAAAGGTTCTTTGGGGAACCCAAAGTGGCTGTTCTATGGCATCACTGCAAAAATCCACTTTTGGAAACTTTATTTTTAAAAGTGATAGCAACTTCAGAACAATATCCTTTGGTACTATAGAAACTTCAGAAGGTTCTTATTCATCAAGCTAAAACAAATCATCTTGAGACTTTATTTTTTAGAGTTGAGTTCATAAATCTTCACTAACATGTTGTATAAATTGACTCATTTGGCAGGAACGGACAGCTGTGAGTGTCTGAACACATTTTTTCCTTCCTTTCTCTGATCTTCTGTGCACAGGTTAATAAACAGATGACAGGAATGGCTGGATGCCTCATTGATTAGCAATAAACAAGGTTTGTTCAAATCAAATCACATTGCTTAAAAAGATACATTCTCAGGTCTAGACTAAACTTTATGAAAGTGTAGATGTAAGCTGAGCTGTAACAAGCTTGGAGATTAATTGATATGATCTTCATCAGTTTGATAACTGAACTCTGAATATGAATCACAGTCCAACATTTGTGATGAATGAATTCATCATGGTGAGTCGTGGAATAAATGGCGAAGAAACGTTTAATCGTCGTTTATCAGTGTGGTTCGCTTCAGTTTGTTTTAGAGTGATTGGTTTCAGGTTTAAGGGACTGACAAACCTTTAATGTGCTGGTAAAAAGAAGCAAGTAAAGCTTCAGTAGGTTCCGTCATGCTGCTGTCGCG